ATTATTGGACACCGCATTTTTGTACACCGCATTATTGGACACAAGCATTGCAAGATTGGACACTGCATTTTCTGACACCGCATTATTGGACACCGCATTTTTGGACACCGCATTTTTGTACACCGCATTATTGAACACAAGCATTGCAAGATTGGACACTGCATTGGGATTGTCCTGATTGCACACATAACCGATCGGACACGGCAATATTTCTCGATCGGACACAGGCTCGATCGGATACAGACCCGATCGGACACGGACTCGATCGGACACAGGCCCAATCGGACACATTTTGTATCGGGTTTGCGTATTTCTGTAAAGCACAATATTCTTGTGGGTGTATGGACTTACAAATGATGGAAAATTATCTGCTTTACAGAACAGTTAACCCGGGTTAAATATATATAAATATCCCGACCCATCTAGAGTCATAGTTTGCCTTAAATTTCATGTTATAAATACTTGAAAACCCATTAGAGTGTCCGATCGAGTCCGTGTGCGATCGGGAAATATTGCCGTGTCCAATCGGTTATGTGCGCAATCGGGACAACCCCAATGCAGTGTCCAATCTTGCAATGCTTGTGTTCAATAATGCGGTGTACAAAAATGCGGTGTCCAATAATGCGGTGTCCAATAATGCGGTGTCCAATAATGCGGTGTCCAATAATGCGGGGTCCAATAATGCGGTGTCCGAAAATGCAGTGTCCAAACTTGCAATGCTTGTGTCCAATAATGCGGTGTACAAAAATGCGGTGTCCAAAAATGCAATGTCCAATAATACGGTGTCCAATAATGCGATGTCCAATAATGCTTGTGTCCGATAATGCGGTGTCCAATAATGCTTGTGTCCAATAATGCGGTGTCCAATGATTTCGGTGTCCAATAATGTGTGTCCAATAGTGCGTGTCCAATCGAACGGTGTCCAATCGTTACGTGTCCAAACGGGATACGCCCGGCTTCGATTTGGGCAAAAATCGTGCCGAGCTCTTCAAACGTTAAAAGGGTATCACCGATAACTCTTTTTAGGTGAGTCTTGGCGGATTTAACCGCTGCCTCCCAGAGCCCTCTTATATGCGGAGAGTATGAAGGAATAAAACTCCATTGAATATTTTGATCGGATAGAAATCGCTCTATTTTACCATGTTCCGTCTTTATCATGTTCGCTAGGGCCTTGAGCTCGTTGTTTGCTCCGACAAAATTTGTGCCGTTGTCGGAACACAATGTAGCGCATCTACCACGTCGTGCGATGAATCGCTTTAAGGCATTTAGAAAGGCGTTCGTTGATAGATCACTGACTATCTCTAAATGAGTAGCTTTTGTTGAGAAGCATACAAAGATACACAAATACGCCTTTCCACCTTTGTTTCGCGAGATTTTGATGTTGAACGGTCCCGCGTAATCTAACCCGGAGTGCAGAAACGCCCGTGATGGGTTAACGCGGTTCTTTGGAAGATCACCCATCAATTTATTCTGAGTTATAGGGCGCACGCGGTAACACGTGATACATTTGCGAAGGACTCGTCGAATCGCTTGCTTTCCTGAAATAATCCAATACAATTGACGCAAATGAGCGAGAAGACCTTGAGGTCCTAGGTGAAACTGTTTAAGATGGGTATCCCGAATTATTAATTCCGTAAAAGGGTGTTTTGTCGGCAAGATTATTGGATGACGACACGAATAGTCAATTTTGGTGTGACGAATCCGACCGCCTACCCGTACAATTTCTTTAGCATCCATAAATGGGTTGAGCGTAACAAGCTTGCTCTTAGTGGCCACCTGCCCTTTGGTTTGGAGGTCCATTTTTTCTGGGGCGAACTCCTCTGACTGGACTATCTGTATGAGTCTGGCTGTAGCCTCTTCCAATTCTTCCACTGTGAGCTGGCCTGATTCCCTTAACTGCTTTGTGAGGGTGTTTCTCTTGAAACGCAGACAATATGCTGCCACGCGCTTTAGGCGCGAAAAGGACGAGAATTTTGTCAGTAAGTCGAAATCTTACGAACTGCATGGAACCGTAACTGCTTGCCTCTTAAGTTCTGGGATTTGAGATTCCGGCAGCGATGAAAACTCGTTGGGCCATTGCCGTCGATCCATTGTCATCCAGGGTGGTCCATCCCACCACAAGCGAAACGTTCCAAGAACCTCGGGCGATGCACCCCTAGATAAAACGTCTGCCGTATTATCCTTGGACCTTACGTGAAGCCACTGTGCGTCAAATGCAACCGCTGTATTTCTGCCACCCTATTTGCGACGAAGGTTTGTAATTCTTCAGGACTACGCTTGAGCCATGCTAGGGTGATTGTAGAGTCGCTTCAATAATTAATGCTGTCGAACCTTACTGAAAGCGCTTGTCGCACTGTTTGGCCAAGTTTTGTAAGCAACAAAGCTCCGCACAATTCAAGTCGTGGAAGCGTAACCTTCTTGAGAGGGGCTACCCGGGACTTGGCGCATAGAAGATGTGACGATATTTGTGCTGCCTCGTTTATGCTCCGTATGTAGATACAGGCTCCGTATGCCGCTTCAGACGCATCACAGAATCCATGCATTTCGATCCTGCGCGGCGCCGAGCAGATTACAGGTCGTGGAATTGAGATTAAACTCATGTCGTTGATCCTTCCTTGATATTGCATCCATGTAGTATGAAGGTCGAGAGGAAGGGACTCGTCCCACCCTATTTTCAGTCTCCAGAGTTGTTGGAGGATCATTTTGGCACGGACAATCGTTGGTCCCATTAATCCTAGTGGGTCATAAATTTGAGCAATGGTTGAGAGCACTGATCGCTTGGTTGCCCGATCCCTCATCGTCACTGCTTGAGTCCTGTATTGCAAACAGTCGTCAGTACTGTTCCAACAGACTCCCAACGTCTTGATCCCGCCTCCAATGGTTAACGTGGTGGCGTCTGATGACCCATCTAAGATGGCAGGTTCGTTGGTGTTCCACTTGTGAAGCTGGAAACCTGCCGAAGACAGGATTTCCGTCAGTTCGGTCTTGAGTCGCCGTAAGGTTTTGATATCGTTGCCACCGGTCAGCAAATCGTCAATGTAGAAGTCATTGCGTATAATATCGCTGGCCTCTGGATATTGTTCCAGATTATCAGTGGTGAACTGAAGCAGGCATCGTGTAGCCAAGAATGGAGAGCTAGTTAATCCATATGTGAGAGTGTTAAGGCGGTATTCTCGGACAGGGTCGCCAGCGTCGATTCTCCACACGATTCGCTGTAAATCGCGTTGTTCTTCATGAAGAAGTATCTGCCGATAGATCTTCCTTATATCCGCCGTAACGACGTATTGGCACTGCCGGAATCTGAGCAAGATGCACAGTAGATCTTGTTGTATGGTGGGTCCCGCCCTAAGTATATCATTGAGTGCCACTCCGGACGAGGTGGCACTGGAACCATAAAAAACGACTCGAAGTTTGGTCGTTATGCCGTCCTCTTTTACAACTGACAATGAGTGGTGAGGAAGATAATTGACTACCTCACTTTCTTCTTTGCTCATCACCTCGTTCATATGACCTGAATCTTGATAGTCCTGCATGAAATCTTGATATCCTGCTCTCAACTTTGGATATTTGACGAATCGTCGTTCCATAGACTTGAGACGCTTGACAGCATTTTCTCGCGAAGATCCCAGTTGCTCAACGTTGCCCCGAAGCGGCAAACGTACTTCGAAACGTCCATCTGGGTTACGTCGATGTGTCTGCTTAAATTCCTCTTCGCAAATCCTGTCGTTTTCAGACGGCTCGTTATAAACTGCTCCTCCTTCGACGTGCCAAAAGCGTTCCAACTGGTCTCCGAGTGTATCTGAATTACTGGAGACACAGGGGAATGCAATGGATGAATTTCTGGGGTCTATAGGACCAGCGATGATCCAACCTAGCTTGGTTTTTTGGGTAACGGGTTGGTTTCGTCCAAGTTTAATTTGACCAACGCATAGCAGGTCCCAGAAAACAGCACTTCCCAGTAGAACATCGATTCTGCCTGGAATATGGAATGATGGATCAGCTAGAGTTATCGTCTGAGGAATTTTCAGATGACGTTTGTTAATCTCGGACAACGGAAGTATAGTAGTGATCACAGGTAATACCGAGAAATGCAATTTGACCTGAAAGGCGTTGAATCTTGACTGTATCGTCGCGTGAGTTTGGGAAGAGACTATCGTTTGTGTATTATCAATTCCTCTTACAGACAGATGACTACTTTGTTGAGGCAGCTGAAGATTATTGCAGAGATCACGAGTTATAAAATTGGTTTGGGATCCCGGGTCAAGAAAGGCTCGACATTCATGAAATTGTCCCAAGGCATCCTGTATCTTGATAATTGCCGTGGCCAAAAGTCCTCGTTCGCTTGATCGTGGAACACAGCTGGTTAGTGTAGCAGTCTGCGATCCGACTGGTTGGGGTGATGCCTCCTGAGAGTTACAAGATCGATTGACGCTGTCTGATCCGGTAGGATCACCTTTGTTAGAATGTAGCAATGAGTTATGTTTTTTCTGGCACAAACGACACACGCCAAACTTACATTTTTCGATGGCATGTTCTTCCTTTAAACAATTTGGACATACCTTTAGTTCCTTGACTTCCTTATTTCTGACTTGAGGAGGCAGATTCAGGAAGGCCGGACAGTGATAAATTCTGTGCTCCGCCTTTTTGCAGAACAGACACTTTTCTACCTTGAATTTGGTGGCAACGGCCGCGACCGCCCGTTTTTGCGCGGTACCTAATTGTTGCGGCTTGCTTACCTTGGCCTTGTCGAGTTGCAGCGTTTCGAGCATAATGCATCGGTCAGTCATGAAATCAACAAGTTGTTTACGTCGCAACTTCCCTTGAAGAAGCCTGATCTTGCCATTCCCGCTTCGTGGTACTGTCGAATTTCGCAACCGTTAAATGGACGAGAATAGTGCTCCACTGATCTGTAAGTTGACCTAGACCCTTTAGTGCTCGAACGTGTTTCTCAGTTGTATCCAACAGCTGGCGCAATAACGAATGAGATTCCTTCTGAATTACCGGAAAGTCGATCAGGGCCTGTATATGATGGTGAACGAGCACACGCTTGTTTTCAAAACGCCTTTCGAGAATTGACCACGCGATTTCGTAACTACCGGCGTCCATATTTGTTGACTCTAGAATCTCCGACGCCACACCCTTTAAGGCTAACCGTAATTAATAAAGTTTTTGGTAAAACTTTACAAACACGGACCCAGCCCCAATGACCTTGACCTTGGCATATGTTGTCGAGGTCACCTTACTGAGTGACCTTCAGAAGGTTTTAGCCGTCGCTCGTTGTTCGTTAAAAAGTTATGGAGAAAAGAAGTTTCGCAAATGCTATGTAGTTCACGATATCATGTACGTTTAGGATGGCCTCACGTGGAAAGTTTCTGACACCATATACAATTCAAAGAATGTATAAGTGTCTTTGATATTATTAAGCATACGAATGAGAGTAAGCTACCCACAGTAACATCACAACAAATCCCTTACAGTCGAATTTCACTCGTCAAGCTTACGACTCGCGACGTGCTACTAACGTAAGATGTTACTTCACGAGTTTCTTCATCTCACGTATAAAAAAGATGAGCTCATTAGATATTTGAGCGAGAAAAAAGTAATTCGCCAAGACATTGAGTGTCCACAGTGCAAAAATATCCATTTTAATAAAAGATATTTACAATATATATTTTTCCCCACCTCCACCCCCGTCCCACCTGCTTCCTCTCTTATACACACATAAAAATTATACACAAAACGGACGGGG